ACATCCAGAACTTTCTTGTGTCATTATTCCCTAAACAGCACAACATAGCAGCTATTTATGTAGCAGTTTCCATATTATAAGTCATCTTTAGGGGTGTGTGTGTGTGTGTGTGTGTGTGTGTGTGTGTGTGTGCTGGTACCAGGGCTTGAACTCAGGGCCTGGGCCTGGGCACTGTCCCTCTGCTCTTCAGCTCAAGGTGAGTACTCTACAGGTAGCCACAGGGCCACTTCTGGTTTTCTGGTGGTTTATTGGAGATAATGGACTTTCTTGCCGAGGCTGGCTTTGAACCACGATCCTCAGATCTCAACCTCCTGAGAGATTGAGCTAGGATTACCAGCATGAGCTATTGGCACCCGGCTCAGTGAGACTCTTATCTCCAATTAACTACTAAAAGGTCAGAAGTAGAACTGTGGTTTACATGGTCGAGCACCACCCTTGAACAAAAAGGCTCAGGAGCAGTGCCCAGACCCTGAGTTTAAGCCCCAGTTCTGGCACCAAAACAAAAACAAAACCTAACAAACAAACAGATGCAAACTTCTTGCCTGGCTGACTTTTTGCTCACTAGATCAAAGGCCTTTTATTATATCATTGGCTATCATTGGCTTTGCATTACTCTGCATCATGTGACAAACCAGAGAGGAGGGGCAGCTTTCTGAACGCACATAGCTGGTCCCTAGTGCAGCTGGTGCTGGAACCCAGTGACTTGCAGCCTAACCCCAGCCACATCCAGGAAGCCCGGACAGCACTTGAGACATTCCCAAACTGGCGTCCGCCATTTTTTGCTCATCATGCCAACACCATTCATTCATTCATTCACCCACAGATTCATTGGAGACTCAAGTGTTTGTACACCTGTCCAGATGGGCAGCTCTGCTGACTCCAGTTTGGGGGATGAAGTGTCACACAAGGCAAGACTCCTTGCCAGGGTGGATGGGCAGCAAGATGGAATCCTAAAGAGTCCCAGGGGACCGCCTTTGGCAGGAATCCTCTTTGCCCCCAATAGGAGGGTCTAAGAGGGGGAGTCAGGGCTCAGCCTCACATACATTCTGGGGTCCCTCTGCCTACGGACCCAGAGCCCTTCCGTCATGTTTCATGGATTAACTACACTTTCTGGAGACAATTTGGCCAGCTGTTCCCATGCGATCTAGATGAGATTCTAGAGGGTTCCACAAATGGCAGGTGATATAGTATTCATCTTTTAGAGGTTTGGGGATTAATATATGGGTTCTAAGTAGAGCCAAAATATGGGGATGCAATAACAGGTGTTCAGAGTTGCGTTATAGCACACTCCTAGTTATTCCTTGAAATCCTGCCCTCTACCCTATGTACCTTCCCTGGGCAACACAAACCCAGCAAGTTCAGCTGCATGCCATTCCTCTGTCACCACCAGCCTCCTAGTGCTGCAATCATCCATTCCTCTCCCTGGGTTTTGTACTCCCCAATGCAGGGGCTCAGGGGCTCTCTTTAATCTTGCCTCTGTGGTTTAGTCATCTGGTTGACCCTCTGAAAGGAGGGTGATTTTTGATACCCTGAAACTCATCTCATGCTACTTATTTTTGTTTTTTGAGAGAGGCTGTCCTTCTGTAGCCCAAGGTGGCCTGGCACTCAAGATTCCCCAACCTCTACTTCCTGAGTGTTGGCTGGGATTATAGGTATAAACTACCACCCTCATCTCTATTATTTTTCATTCATTTAGACACTCAACAAAGATCTTTGAGCTTCTGTACAGGGTTTTTTGTTTTGTCTTCTTGTTGTTGTTTTTTGCGACTCTTCATCTGTACAGACATATTTAATACGTTATGCTGAGAATTTGGAAAGTGGGAAAGAAATTAATGGACGATGGCAAGAATGTGTTAGGACAGTGAGAGCCATGGCAATTTTGAGACCAGGTCTCATTATATAGCCTCGGTTAGTCTCAACTCATTAGCCTCCCGCCTCAGCCTCCAGGGTGTTGAGATTACAGGTGTATGTGACCACACTCAACTTGTCATTTTATTTTTATGATGGAAAAATTCATCCTCTTTAGAAATGTACTTGAAGCATTACAAGAGATTCTGGTTTTCTCTATAAGAAGTTATAATATCTATTGTGAGAAAAGAAAATTCCCAGCTGGGCACTGGTGGCTCACGCCTGTCATCTTAGCTACTCAAGAGGCTGAGATCTGAGGATCACGGTTCAAAGCCAGTCCGGGCAAGAAAGTCCAAGAAACTCTTATCTCCAATGAGCCACTCAGAAAACCAGAAGTGGAGCTCTGGCTCAAGTGGGAGAGTGCTAGCCTTGAGCTGAAGAGCTCAGGGACACTGCCCAGACCCAGAGTTCAAGACCCACGACCCACCAAAAAAAAAAAGAAGAAGAAGGAAGTTCTCCACGGTGGAGCTCAATCCTATCTGCCCTTCTGCCCAAGCTTTCTTTAGTGCAGAAGGGGAGAAATGAATTAAAAATTTACATCCAAGAAGCTTTGCTGGGCCAAAGGCCTTCTTTCCTTCCTTTCCAAAAACCTCATGTCGAGGCTTACAGGAACTTTTGGGAATATTGGCCTCATTTGGCATCTTTGGACTTTTCTAGCCTGTTCTGCAGCATCAGTATCCCCAGCTTCCTGAATTCCTGCTGTGCACTGGAAATGACAGGACAGACAGGAACTCCTCAGAGAAGCTCCCTGCCAAGGAAAAATGCCCCAAATGCTGAAAGCCAAGCAATGTGGCTCGGTCAAGTCAAGCCCCTCTTCTCTGTGCCTGACTCCTGCTCAGAGGGGCCACTCTGCTGATGACTTGGACCTGAGACCTGGAAGGGATGACTTTCCTGATGAGGCACCCCAACGGGTGATGTCATGTTACCCACAGGCCAGGAGTGCCAGTCATAAATTAGCTAACTGTACAGCAGCCACAGACACTCCCTTTGGAAACAAATAACAGCCTTATGCAAAATGGTTTTGGATGGCATGGAGCGAGTATAAATACTTGGTGGCTGCCGGCATGTGATCTTCACTTTGCAGTGAGTCGAAGACACACCTCAGTGCAGGAACTGGACCTTATAGGCAGTCCTCAAGTTTCCTGGGCCCAGGTCTCGTCCTGTCCTCTCCCATCTGCAGACCCTGGTCCTTCAAGCAGCCAGGAGCAGTAAGCAGTGCAGCTAGCTGTGACGTGAGTTGTCTGCTGCTGATTCTGAGAAGGGGGTTGTTTCTCTCTGTGTGGGAATGGCTCAGAGACTTGTGAGTGTGTGTGTGTGTGTGTGTGTGTGTGTGTGGTGGCGGCGGAGAATCTTCTGCTGTAGACAGAAGCTGATAGAAAGTCTCTGCAAAGAAATATCAATGTCAGGTTTGGCCATTTGAACAAGGCATTGCATTCAGGGTTGGTTTGTTTTTCTTCTGCTAATATTTGCTGTGGTTGCTCCATGATAAGGAAAAAGGAACTTTCTGGAAAATTCAGAATGGCTGGGAATGATAACTGCTAAGATTTTTTTTTAAATGTACACATATTATCTGATCCAGTTCTTAAAACATGTGTCCTGCCTCCAATTCTGGAAGCTAGATGTTACTCTGCCTGTATAACTAGTTCAATAACTAGAGTCTGACACAAAGATTCATGAGTCAGCCTTACTCCTCACTGTCCCCCCAAAACAAGGCTTTCCCTTGTGAGCTCAGCTGTGGGGAAGTCCAAACTCTTTTAGTTTATTTTCTTCCTTCCTTCCTTCCTTTTCCTTCTTTTCCTTTCCTTTTTTTTTTTTGGGGGGGGAGCCAGTCGTGGGGCCTGAACTCTGGGCCTGGGCACTGTCCCTCAGCTCTTCAGCTCAAGGCTAGCGCTCTACCACTTGAGCCACAGCGCCACTTC